TAAACATACTTAAAATTACTTAAGTTAGATTTAAATATACTTAAAACTGAGGAAATATTGCAATTTTTATACTTAAATATACTTAAATTATACTTAAACATACTTAAAATTACTTAAGTTAGATTTAAATATACTTAAAACTGAGGAAATATTGCAATTTTTATACTTAAATATACTTAAATTATACTTAAACATACTTAAAATTACTTAAGTTAGATTTAAATATACTTAGAACTGAGGAAATATTGCAATTTTTATACTTAAATATACTTAAAACTACTTAAGTTATACTTAAACATACTTAAGTAATACTTAAATATACTTAAGTTGTATTTAAATATACTTAAGTTGTACTTAAATATACTTTAGTTTTACTTAAATATATTTAAGTTGTACTTGAATATACTTAAGTTGTATTTGAATATACTTAAAACTGAGGTAATATTGCAATTTTTATACTTAAATATACTCAAATTATACTTAAATATACTTAAAACTACTCAAATTATACTTAAATGTACTTAAGTTATACTTAAATATACTTAAGTATACTTGAAACTACTTAAGTTATACTTAAATATACGTAAGTTGTACTTAAATATACTTAAAACTTTTTTAAACTTTTAAAGCAATTTTTATACTTAAATATACTCAAATTATACTTAAATATACTTAAAACTACTCAAGTTATACTGAACTATACTCAAGTTATACTTAAATATACTTAAGTATACCTAAAACCACTTAATTGTACTTAAATATACTCAAGTTATACTTAAATATACTTAAAACCGAGGAAACATTGCAATTTTTATTCGTGGCGCCGTCATTCCAAGGCGCAAGAGGAAGAAGAAGAAAAAAAAAAAAAGAATATCGAAGAGATTGCCCATTGAGATCCCCCTTTGATCAGCTGACAATGATACTTCCCGAGAGTGATTACCACACAGCAACGCCATCAACACACAACGTCGGGTCCAAGTTTAAACACCGGCGGTCGGACGTTGCCGTAATCCCAGGGTTTAATTCAGGAACATTCGGTTCCTACCGTGGCCCTCTATCCATCCACCTCCTCTCCGCTTCTTCGTTTTTCCAAGGGCCGGTGGAATCCGCGCGATTCGTCCGATTCCTTTTGGCCGATCCCGCGGGATCGGCCGAACTCTCCGAGACTCGTTCCTCACGGTTCTCCACTCTATAAATACCATGCGCTCCTTAGCGCGTCGAGACTGGCGAGCCATCGTCGAGAGAAAGAAAGAGAGAGAGAGAGAGAGAGAGAGAGAGAGAGTTCGTGGGCCGTTGCGCTCGGTGCCAAGGTCACGCCGGCCCATCGGCCCTCTCCTATCCTCTCGGTGGCCCCCACATGCTCCTCTCCAAGGGTTCACCTTCACTTCTGTACGAACGAACCACCTTCAACCCCTTCATTCAGGAAGACACCGGTCGGTCGAGTTTCTTCGCCAAGAAATCGCCTTTTGTCGTGTTGTCGGCTTGTTTTTTTTTTTCATCCTTCTGCTCTCTCCCAACTTCTGTATTCTTTCCGCCGGGAGTGGGAGAAAGATACGAAGCATTCACGAAACGATTGTTCGTCTGGTTGATGAAATGTTCTTTCACAACGGAAACAGTCTTTCGGCCCTTTCATTCCGCTCGCGAGCGGTTATTTCAGTTTCCCTTTTCTTTGGCCGATCGATCGTCAGCGAGGAGAACCATCGTCGAATAATTAAAGGAATTAAGTTGCGTATGATTTCGAAGAAAGGGAAGGGGAGGGGGATGAAAGGAAGTTTTTTTTTTTTTTTTTTTTTTATAGAGAAGAAGGTTGCGTTCGTTCGCGAGGTGAGGAAGAGTCGTCGGTTTGTTTGATTCTTTTCTCGTCTTCTGGCACGGCCCAAGGAAACTTGCAGTCGGTGTCTCGTAACTATTTTCAATCAAACTGTAGTACAATTAAGAATAAATGAATTATAAGAAATTTCATTTTCGAATAATTATTTTTAATATTGACTTGAATGAGGATTTAATGGCAAATTAATTAAATTATTTTAATTGAATTCAGTGTTAATTGGTGTACAAATTGCCCGTCAATTTCTAATCGGAATAAGTCGTAACATAGTAAAAGTACTTGGAAAGTGTTTTTAGATGAAAAATTTTTAATTTACATCAAATAGAATTGATTTTAATTAGAAAATTTTATTTAGAAATACAAACTTATTTATTGTGATTGTTAAATTAAAAATATAAATAAACGAAATTTTATAATAATAATTAAAATTACAGCAATAATTTAAAATTAATAAAATTATTTCTCACGAATCGCAAATAACAGAAGAAATTATTGAAAATAATTGAAATAATATTAAATATCAAATGACAAAAATGTTAAAACAATTTTTATTGCGCAAATTGCTCTTTTTATTGTACAAATCCTCTTTTTACTCGCGAGTAAATATTCTATTTCTACTGTGCTCCAAATAAATTTAAAGGCTAACTCGGCTAACTCCAAAATTGTCAATTCTTCTGTTCGAAAGTTACAAAGCAAAATGTCATTAAACTCTTCTGTCCTGGAAATATCTCGTCGATCTCTCTTGCACGAGGAAATTCAGAAACACATTCTGAAGCAACACGTTCCCGAAGCAGGTGTGTACCAATGTGGTACGGGGGATCCATTGCGAAATGGGATTGTAGAAGTTGCTGAAACGTTGCACGGATGAAAGGCACGTGTGCGTAATACGGCGAGGAAAAAACGATTGAAGATACGGTGTAGGATAGAAGTGTAGAGGAGGAGACGGTGTCGTGGCGTAGCAGACGCGATCCGTGGTCTACAATCTATCTAACACTCGTACGTAACCGAACTGGTGGCTGGCAGCCAACTGAGAAAGACTTTGGATATATTTGCGGACTGGACAAGCTGCTGCTGCTCGACACGTGACACAATTCCATTGCTATGTCTCGACTATATCTTTCTTCTCGTTCCCGTTCTTTCCTGTTCTAATTCGCCGATGCACGGAAGACTATCTTTTTTTTTTTTGGAAATGACACGGCGATTAATATTAACACGTTTATTCCTGGATTTATTTCATCGAGATGATGCTAGACACGGTTTTCGTTTCGACAGCGAATTTTTGTTTAACCTCTTGCGCTTGGAATGAATTTTCTTGTTTGCGACAAGATTGCAATACTCTTTCAGCTTTAGGTATAGTTGAGCAAAACAAATAATCAATTTTGTACTCCTTGGTGATATCGGCATATGATTTCTTCAAAAAGTAAGCGACGAATTGTTGTATAATACGGCTTGGTCGCTCGTTATGGTCCGCAGTCAGTTGCCAGCGCAACTGGCTAAGACTTAAAATACATAACTGTCTCGATTGTTGTGATAAATGTATGTTTTTTTTTTCAAATTGTCATTCAGAAGCACGAGCAAAGAAAATGATTAAAAAAATTTGGCAGATAGCACAAGCGTGAAATACGTGTGGCGAATTGAAATTAATTTCTATTGAAATTCACAAGTAGATGTATCTTTATTAATAATAATGTCGATTAACTTCGCGCCACATCGCGGACTATTGTTTTCTAAATATCAAAATCATTGTTCACGTGAATTTTTTCAATTTTTTTTTTTCCATTATATTCGAATCGTTCTTCGTTTCCGGCCTTCGTTCTCGGACCAGAATGATTTACGAAATATAATTCAGTAAAGACTCGGGGATGGATCAATTAGCAGGGCGTTAGAGGTGTTTTCACGATCGTGAGATAAGAATCTTCACACGTGACACAATTTTATCATCCTTGTGGGACGCGACCGTGTGAGCGCGAGCGCGCAGGCAGTATCGTTCACTACTACGTGCAGCTATGCAAGGAATCGTGCGGTCAGAACTCCTTTCCTATTCAGGATTCCCGGAAAACGGCAACGATTCGTGGTATATATGACATAAATTTTAATTAGACGATTCCCCCTGTCGTACGTACGAGGCGCGAACGACACCAAAATTCACGTGTTTATGAAAACGTGTTTGGTTCAGAAAACCAACGGAGAATGCCAGCGTTAATCGGATGTTTTAAGTAGGCAAGACATTTTTACATTGGACGTAAGCAAGTTTGCAAATTTGTTTTCTGAAAAGTGACGAAAGTTCGCCGATGCTGTCTGTGTTTTAATTTGAAAGGACGACGGGATGGTCCTATAAAACAAACTAATCGAACCACTTAATCAGCTGTTAAACCATCCAACTGTTAAACTATCAGGCGGTCAACGAACTATTGAGCCATCCAACAATCTAGGATAATAAAATTAATATTTTGAAGTGAACTTTTTTTTTCTTTTTTAGAAAAGTTATCCTCACGAAAATAATCGAACCTGAAACATTCAAACACACTTTGTTCAATTTTCCTAAATTACAGCTCAATATTTCTAAAGAAAGGTTCCCGTGCGTGGTAACTCGCTCACTTTCTGAATAAACCCAATCTGTCTCGTCTCGAGAAGCGTTGTTTGACCACTTGACCACTGGCAGCTGGATTGCGGACCATAACGAGTGACCGGGAACAACCGTGTACAACAATTCGTCGCTTTCTCTTCGAACTCGTCGGCACGATATCGTAGAAGTAATTCAACAAATTTATTATTTTGCTTTGCCTGGGTGAACATGCTTAGAAAAACTTAGAGAAAATATTGCAATTTTGGGAAAAAAAAAAAAAAGAAAAAAAAAAAAAAAGAAACGTACGTGCGTTGCGGCAGCGGCAGGAGGTTAAACCCGAAGGTTAATTCCCATCCGAGTTTCTGAACAATTTGACGATTCGATCAACGACGACAACCTCGCGATAGAGAAAGAGATGAGAGAGGTGTAGCACGTTGAATTATCGAGTTCCCCTTGGTCTCTCCCGACTACCTATAAGCAAGCGGCGGTGGAATGCATCGGGATGCATCGTATGGGGTATATACCGCTCGTGCAGTCGTGAGGGACGCGATCGACCTCTTGCGGAGAGTTGCCTTAACCTTTTCGATTTTTTCTTACTTGTTTCAGCCCGCTGCCTGCCCGGATGCGACGAGCAGCACGGACACTGCAATCGACCCGACGAATGCATGTGAGTATACGCATACGATCCACCTTTTCTTTTCTTTTTTTTTTTTTTTTTTCTTCTTCTTCTTTTTCTATCGAGAGAATTCGCGAGGAGGAATTTGGTCGGACGGGGTGTCTTGAG